ATTCACACACAATTACAACATGTAGACATTAATCTTCGTGCTTACAAACATCTAGGTATTAGGATAATATGTAAAGAGGAAAACTACAGACTAAACATAATCACAGTAATTAATCTTTCATCTTATTAATTAGAGTATCTATGTCGACATAGGAGTTTTCAGTTTCTAGAATTTCGATTAATCTTGTTCTAATGGATTTTTTAAAAGAGTTCTTGGATGAGTTTTTGAGACTAGTCGGCATCCCATTCCAGATTTTAACGCCAACACGTGAAAAGGCCTTACTTTGAACATTAAGTGCAGATTTTTTAGTATAAAAATGCTCAGACGTTGATGAACGTGTGCCGTAAGAGTGAACGCTGGTAATTTTAGAAAACAAAATCGAAATATTAATCGGTGCAGAACTAGTATTGATGTCGTACATTAAATTAGAAATTTTTTTATAATATTGGAATTCTAGCGGTAGAAGCTTTGCTTTCAAGAAAAGTGGTATGCATGCTCCCTTACTGGAGCAAAGTGAATAAGACGGAGTACACGTTTTTGAAGGACAGGAATGTTATTTAACAAGGTCTTAGATGCAGTTCCCCAAGAAGTTAATCCATACGTTATATAAGGTGCAATGAGGGACTTATAAATATCAAGAAGAGTTCGATTAGGAACAATATGTCTTAACTTCGCAATAAGACCGACAGTTTTACTTATTTTTGTTGTAAGGGTATAGATATGGTTTTTCCAACTTAGATTTTCATCAATCAATAACCCAAGATATTTAATGCAATTCTTATGTTCAAGGGTAATATTCTTATTTTCTTCATTGTCAAAAATATTAACTTGTAGCAGGTAATTAAGTCTTTTTTGGTATAGGCGGAAAATAACAAAGTTTGATTGCTTTCTGTTAAGTGCAAGTTTATTTGCGGTTAGCCAATTGAATAGGTTGTTCAATTCAATATTTACAATTAATTCCAATGTCTTGAGATTTTCGTGAGAGTAAAGGACATTAGTATCATCTGCAAAAAGAAAAAATTTAAGTTTCCTGGAGCAATATTGAATATCATTGACATATAGCAAAAAGAGGAGCGGCCCTGAAACGGACCCTTGGGGTACACCACAGCTAACTACTTCTTTATCCGAAATAAAAGAGTTAATCTCAGTTGTTTGAGTACGATTTGTTAAATATGAGGAAAACCACTGATTGTCAATTCCTCGAAGGCCGTAATAATTAAGTTTATCAAGTAATATTTTATGGTCCACCGTGTCAAAAGCTTTCTTAAGGTCGATGAACACCCCACAAGAAAAAAGTCTTTTATCCATATTGGTACGGATGGATTCCACCATGTCAAGTATAGCATGTTCAGTTGAATTTGCGAAAACCGTATTGGGATGAAGATAATAGTTGGTGTTTTTGTATGAAAACTTTCATTCTGTTGTACATAATTTTCTCAAAAATCCTGTTGAAGTTTGACAGTAATGAAATCGGTCTATAATTGCAGGCATCTGTTTCATCATCAGCTTTGTAGACGGGTATAACTTTGGACATTTTCAGTTTAGAGGGGTATGCCCCCAGACTGACAGACTTGTTGAGAAAATTTGCAAGGACAGAGGATATTATGTCACAAGAGCGTTTAAGAAGTTGTGCAGAACAAGAGTAAAGGCCAGATGACTTATTGTTCGGTATGGATAAAATTTCAAGCTTCACTTCATGTGGAGTAACAGGTTTGAAGAAGAATGAGGTGTCAGGTGATTTGGAGTTACAGAGATAGTCCATATAAGGATGCTCAGCTTGAGGCAGTTTGGTTGCTAAGTTATTACCAACAGATGAGAAATACTTATTTATAATGTTGGGCATACGCAATGGGTCATTGATAACACTACTGACTTCCAAAACCGTCGTCAAGATACACAAAACTAGTATGCTCCATGGAAAACCAGCGCTTCAATAAGAGGCGCTATAATTTGGTGAAACAATAACTAGCGCTACTAAGGCCGAAAGGCAAAACTGTAAAGGTGAAATATTTGAGCACGCCATCGATTGACCACGCAAAGCCGAGAAACGCTTGATGCTCTGAACAGATATCCACGTGGTGATACCCCGATTTAAAGCCCCATGTAAAACACCAGTGGCCTTCCTCTGGGACTTGAGACAAAGAGGGAAGATCTTTATACTTGAACTTAAATTTGACCAGATAATTGTTAATGTGTCTTGAATCAATTGCTAAGCGCAGCTTTTTTACCCTCTGCTACTGTTAAGGGGTTAACACAGAATATAGGAACGCTGTGTTCAACGATGCAGCCATGAGCTAAGGCTGATTTGTTATTGGGCAACAAACACGGGGGCGGATACTCCGCAAAAGGGAGTCTGAACCCACGCCGAATAACATCTAAAACAAACTCTGGCGCATTTAAAGTGGTTTTCCAAAAACCCATGGCAGAATTGAAACGGCCTTTCACACCTCAGCTGTTGTTCCGAATATTGAACTCGTAAAAATTTCCAAGAAAAAAAAACAAGGAAAGTCATAACCAACCTGCAAATGATGATCATCATCCGACACTGACCAAAAGCCAGTCATTCCCGATGAGAAGTGCTTCTCGCTGAATCGGCGGACTTTGAGCTTGAGCAGAAGGCGCTTAAATGACCAAACTCTCCACACTATAACACAAACGAATTAAAATTAACAGCTTATGCGGATGCGTTCACAGACCCGCGGGACAAACACTCAATTACTCAACACTTTTATAGCGCTATTCAAATAACTTAACACTTAAGAGACACGCTGAAACACTCACTAATGAACACAAAATTCCATTCAGAACTTGCAGAAACAAATATCTGCTCAACTTCGTAACGCAGATATTTTGATAGTCCAACAAATACTTCGCGGGAATAGGGGTCTAGCTAGGAGGTCTTCTAGGGGGGAGGAGAGGGTCCCCTATTTAGCGTGTGGTTTTTGGATATTTCAATGAAATTTCGGATCAATATCAGATCTGGGCAACTGCCCACCTACCCCTCCCCTAACCCAACATTAACCCCAACTTGTTATCAATTGACTGTTGTTGAGTTAGGGGAGGGGTAGGTGGGCAGTTGCCCAGATACTGATATTGATCCAAAATTTCTTTTGTTACCAGATTCCATATTTTGATTTGACTTACATAAATTTATCTAATGAACAAGAGGTACAAAGGTGACCAATATAAAGTAGCAATACACCAACATTTTTTAAGATCAAGTGTTTCCTGACATGAAATCATAACTATTAACTCTTCACTCCCAAGATCTCATTAGCAATTCTCCTTACTGTCTGCCATACAATTATTGTAATATGATTTTGGAGAATTTGGTATTGGATCAAGTAATGATCCTCCAGTTGATACTATTCTTTATTCCCATCACTCTTCTGCTTGATATTGTATTGATATTGTAAGGAGAAATTCTGTCTTGGTCACTCATGAGAGTTATAGGGTTAAAGGGATTTAAATACCCATGGCTCTTTTACACCCTTAGCATCTCCATAAAAAGTGAAAAGTTTATCTAAAGTGTTATTCATTATAGCTTGAATGAAACTAACTCTCATTTATGGGTACCATGGAAGGGATTGGATGGTAAAGTTACCTCTTGGTCATTGGAATATTCCCTGTAAACAAGAGAAAAATGCCTTATTAGGATGAAGGGCTTGAAATCCATTGATAGGGTTGTTTTTGTTTACACCAGCTTATCACTGCTTTTACCACAATGAGTATATTTGTTTGGATGTTTCCACATAATTGTAGTTTCCTCTAATATTTTTATTTTCCTTAAATATGAAGGGGCTGCATGGCCTGTCACATTAGGAATTGGTGTAGGCCTTGAAGCTGGATATTCAAACTGTAAACACCAGTTGTACTGGCAGGGTCCTCCTGGATTCCCATTTGGAAGGCCTCATTGGGGAAGGCCTTTTTGGGGCAGGCCTGGTGAAGGTGGTGAAAGACTACCCTTTTAAGGTAGTGTAAGGTACATGGAAAGATGTCACAGATAAGGGCCCAGTTGTTCAAAGGGTGACTAACGCTATCGAATGGATTTTGATGTTATTCGCCAGTCGGGAGGTCTTTATTAGGAAAAGCTGTGCCCGAGGTTCCCAATACGGACCGACCTAGGCTGGTGAATAACATTTTTAATTTTTTTCCTTAAACTTAACGAAATTCTTTCCTAAAGAACCCGAATAAATTAGGGCTGTAATTACAGCAAGATCTACCATAAACTGAATAATTTTTGAGCAAGTAAATGGTAGTTAAAATAGAGGTGATGCAAATTAAAGAGAGGCTTCATCGAAACATTTTCATTTGCGTACTGATAAAGGTGATTTAAAGGCTTTCAACAACTATGAAACATTATTTTTACAAGTATCTGTCACACTCTGACACCTGCCAATTAGAGAGCGCGTAAGAAAGAAAAACGCTGGTACACTTTTGAAAAAACAACGGAACTAGTTTGGCAACGACTGTCGCGACATTGTTTTCTTTAAAAGCAGACGGAAAGTATTATTCACTCTCAACGACGATGAATTAGTGTGCGAAGTGTAACCTCGAAAGATTACCTAAGAGAACGAGCGGTCAATTCGAACGCACACAGTGATCTTTATTGTTTTCAGATGATAGCGCTAAGACGAAATTTGCTTGATGAGAGTCGCGGTTGAGGTTGCGTGCGTGTGGTTCGAACTAAAAGAAAATACAACAGAAACTAATCTAAGAAAAATGCGTTGCGAAATGTAACATTAACCTAACTAAAAGTGAAGCGATTGCACGGAAAACAGAATACCAAAATTATACCAATAATACATGCAAAAGGTGAACAACGTAAATGTAAAAGAAATTAAAACTTACTTTGGTCTAGCTCCTAACGATAGTAAATAGCTTGCAGCGAACGGTAGCAAATAGCTTGTAGCGATTATCTAGCAGCGACGATTTAGCAGTGATGATTTAGCAGCGATGACTAATAACGACGATGAAATAGAATCTTTACACGTGCACTTAAATAAAAATTTGATCAGAGATAACAAACTTGCTGTAATAATCATTAACTAACGAAAGACTTATTGATAAAAATGAACCAGAACAAAACTATAATAAAGTGTATATTAACTAAGCGTTTCGTAACTAACATTCCGGCCCCTTTAAAGGCGGAAACAGCTGATTGCCTTTAACTAAAAACATAAAACAAGGTTGAAACGCTTCGGCCTAAAAACTAAATGTCAGGGTCAACTGCTAAGCATTTGATGCTGGTGTTTTTGCTTTCCATGGTTGTCAGTGACAATGTTGTTTCTCGTCCATTAATGCCAAGCTCTGCAATGAGTCCCTCTGAACAGAAAGAAGTATTGGAACCATTATCCAAAAATGCGTAGGTTTCCACGATCTTGTCGAGACCTGGTGCTTTAACCTTAAGAGGCAGTAGTGCTAATCCGGCTGCGGACGCAAGTTTGCCGTCATTTTCGCCACAGCGACTATCACCTTTTCCCTTAACATAGCCATTCAACGCTTGGTTGCTGGGTTGACTTGAGAGGTTAGTCACTGCAGGTGCAGAATCGCGTCCAGTCGCAGCAGGTGCATCGCGGGGATGAAGATAGCTCGAATGAATTTCCTTACATCCGGTTTCTCGACAAAAACTCTCCTTGGGGCAGGAACTAACAGCATGGCCATGAACAAGACAATTAATGCAGAGGTCTTTGGAGTGTACGAACTTGGGGCTCTCATCGAGGGATTTAGCCTTGAAATTGACGCATTGTAAGAGCCAATGATTAGAATTACAAAGCAGACATATGATTTGGATGCGTTTTTTGCTGGCTTCTTTGTTCACTTGATCGGTGCGGGCTTCGTTCCGTACGGTGACGCAGGTCGCAAAGGGGAAGGCTTCTTCTTCTCTTTCATAGCTGATGGTGGCGTCGGAGGATGACTCGATACGTTATCGAATATAGCGTGCGTGGCTACTCTCGCTTTGGCCTTAACGAAGTCGTTCAAGTCTCTCTCTTCTGAATTTCGGTGATGCCTCCTGCAATATCACGCAATTTCAACTTTAGGCCTTAGGGCAGTCTCTTGACGATCATTCTTAGTGTTTCCGGGTTCTCGGCTTTGCTGAGATATCCAGTGTCACCAACGGTGTTCGTCCATCCAGTTAGAAGAACTGAGAATCGACGTAATGCGACGCTATCTTCGGCTTTGATGGGCGGTCCATTGGTGAGCCTTTCAACGTACGCGGTCGCTATGCGATAACTTTGGCCATATCTGTCCTTCAGCAAAGTGCGCGCCTCTTGATATCCGTCTTCGGGTTTCATAGCTAGACAACTCCTCATCAACTCACGCACTTCGCCTGAGGTGTATTGTACTAAGTAATACAGGCGAGCACTGTTACTGGTCGTTCTACTCTCGATTAGGTTCTCGAATGCTTGTCCAAAGGACCAATACTCAATAGGGTTGCCACTAAAGGTTGGCACTTCTGACTCCGGCAAAGTGAGGGCAAGTGTACTATGCTGTTGTTGCTGAATGAGCTCCTGAATTCGCTGATTTTGCTGGTATTGCGCTTCCAGTATGGTACAGGCCAGTCCGTCAGTCGCGGTAAGGTCGCGGAGAACCAGTTTGACATCGTTCATCTCTCCAGTCTTGAGGGCGTCGAGCGATTTCAAGCGTGGCTTACGATCAATTTCTCCATCGTGGAAAGGGACCCAGCTCTTCGCGTTAGGATTCAGAGCTTCTCTCTCTACGCGTTCTGCTTTTGGTTCCTCTTGGTCATGCTGAGGTCGAGATTCTCGTTGAACTAAAGGTAGCTCATTCGGAGGTATTGGCTGCTGTTTTGCGGTGAATTCTTGAGGAGGTGGGAGTGCCACAGATTTATCTTCCTGTCTGAAAAGCGAGGCAGAATTTTCGACATAAGACGCTTCAGCTGCGCCGTAAACGAGTTCTTCTGCTTGTGCCTTTGCGATTTCTGTTTGTAGCTAGAGAGCTTTCTTCATAAGTTGTGGTGCTAGCTCCTCCTTCTGAATTGCCTCATAGCTTCGTAGATTGGCCTTTTTTTTTGCAGCTGATGCTGAAGAGGCGCGAGAGCTCGCCGCCGAACTTGACTTGGAACAACGAGAGATTTTGGAGCCCCATGAGGTGGGACGCTCGAGAAGGTACATTATTACTCGCTGAATCGTCGGGATTTATCTCGGTATCCGGCCCCGCCGTAATGGCACGTGCTGGCGATAATAATCTACCGAAGTCCTTGACGTGTTCCGATGACACTACCCAGTTACATCTCCTGTGATATCCTCTATTCCACGCTTTACTTCGACAAAGTAGGCGTTCGACTCATCGATATCGCGATCTTTTTTTTAGCTGCTCGTGATAAGCGGCGTAGGCGCCCTCGAATTCTTGCAGAATCTGCACCTTTCTTTTGACTAGTTCAATGTTTCCGAAATCTAACATAAGTTCGCGTATTTCATTTTGTGCTTTCGTAACGATACCTTTCTTTGCGCCTCTAGTTCTCTTTAATCTATCAAAACTTTCTGAGTCGATTCCGTCCCAATCGAGGGTGTGATTTCGTTCTCCAATGCGTGGATTTATTTATTCGACTTCGCTTTCCTTCGACATGTTTTAAATCGATTTCCTGAGGACGTGATCGTTTGTTACATATCTTGCCGTTTGTCACGTCGTGAATTTCCACACGTGAAAGCGGGGTCGAAGGTTTGATGCAACAAATGGCTATTTCTTCAATAACTTCGCTTAAAAACTCGAACCAAACGTGGTAGATGTAAGAATAACTGGAGATTTGCCAAACTCGAACGAATGTAACCTCAAAAGGTTACCCAAAACATCGAGCGGACAATTCGAACGCACACAGTGATCTTTATTGTTTTTAGATGCTAGCGCTAAGACGAAATTTGCTTGATGAGAGTAGCGGTTGAGGTTGCGTGCGTGTGGTTCGAACTAAAGGAAATTACAACAGAAACTAAGAAAAATGCGTTGCTAAATGTAACATTAACCTAACTAGAAATGAAGCGATTGCACGGAAAACAGAATACGAAAACTATACCAATAATACATACAAAAGGTAAATAACGTAAATGTAAAAGAAATTAAAACTTACTTTGGTCTAGCTCCTAACGGCAGTAAATAGCTTGTAGCGAACGGTAGCAAATAGCTTGTAGCCATTATCTAGCAGCGACGATTTAGCAGTGATGATTTAGCAGCGATGACTAAAAGCGACGATTGAAATAGAATCTTTACACGTGCACTTAAGTGGAAATTTGATCGGAGATAACAAACTTACTGTAATAATCATTAACTAACGAAAGACTTAGAAATGAACCAGAACAAAGCTATAATAAGGTGTAATTAACTAAGTGTTTCGAAACTAACACGAAGATTTACCTCCGTTCAGTAAGTAAATGGCAAGGAAAGTAACTGTAAGTAAATTCAAATATTTGATTTTGAAGTTGTGAGAGTTTGCTCGTTTGTTTACTGCATTGGCATGTGTAAATCTGGTCTTTTCTCCACAAAAACCATATTCGAATGGGACACTTCAATTAGGCACAAGGGGATTTAATGCAGCTTTTTCTTGTTGAATTCCCAAATTTCTAAACTGAACGGACTTGGAAAGACTCAGCAAAAGGGTCTTTGTAGTAGAACTTAAAACTTCGCTCGCCTTTTAACTACGAACAAATTGTGAGAGAATTCAGATATTAAATCAATGAAAGTTCCATCGATTAATTCAATTTTAACCAAATTCCTCACGTTTTAACTTTCTAGTTACTTTCTGTGAAGGATTCAAATTATTTACAGGCGGGTTTTAGGCCGCTTGTCAACCAATTTAATGACACTTTTTCTCATACGAATTCATTTCGAAACCAATATTTTTCTGTTCACCAAAGTGATTTGAGAGAGAGAAAAGAGAGGATCAATAAGTTATTTATCGGCTTGAGGTAGTGACCAACGTCTTTGCTTAAAAATACTGCCCAGCCGGAAAAACAAGATATTTTTATGAAAAATGGCTGCGAAGGTAGGGATGACTAGCGACTAAATACAGGAATGGCTCCGACATGTAATTGGATGATCAAAATAGTAAAAGTTAATAAGTTATGTCTTAACTCCTTGCTCGTGAATATTGTTTAACCGTGTGTGTCTCGAAGCGGAACAATGAAATAACACTGCGAGTGAAAACACCGATGTGTCAAACAAGAAATGGTTACTTACATAACGAAAGGAAGGCAGAGCCTTTCTTTCTCATTCAGCGGGGTCTTCCAACGATATTCCGGCGATGACTAAGTCATCTGCTGACTAACTGCGCTGACTAAACTCATTTAGTCAGTTTAGGTGGACGATCAGAGACTGGAGCTATTCCTACATTTCATAGCTGACAGGAATGGCTCCGACTGGTGCTTTTAATTCTTTTTTTTTTTCCTAGTGATGGCACAATCAGTCTTCGGACAGTTTTCGGCTAAAACCAGAAAGAGTAAAATGATTTTAGGAAACTTGTTCAAAACTAATGAAGACTGTTCATCACATGACGCTGTTTTGGAACGTATACATCTCGTTTGCTATTATATTACTACTGTTCTAGACAAGGTATTTATACCACGTAAATTTAAGAAAGAATTAGTGTACTGTAATATAGACCACGTTTCCTGTAAGGTACACGAGCCATCCTAACCTAATTTGCAAACTGCTTTCCAGGCACCATCTGTAATAAACCTCTTCAAATCTGCTAAGTTAGCTTCTACTGCCTCTCCGGGTATCAAAGATGCCTCGTTTGTATCCAATACGTCAGAAACAGACAGTTTAATGGCAGATTTAACCAGGTCTTCAATGGAGTAATGTTTTTCCTTAGTAAACCAGGGAAGCATTTCTTGCAACCCTACCAGAGAAATAAAAAGATGGTGAGGTGAGACAGGTGTGATAGGCAAGGAAGAAAAAATTTCAAACAATGAAGCACAACAAACCTTGTGTGCCATCGTTTTTCCGGATGTGAAATCGACAGCTGCTTTGCTGTTGTTCTGCTCTGATTGCTCATTATTCTTCCAATTCTCAATCATCTCCATCTTCTGTTCCTTGGTTGGTTTTTCCAACCTGACATTTCTCTTCTGTGTCTTTCGTTTGGTGGAAAAGAAATGTTTCTGGACCTCAATTTTTTGATTCAGGTGCATTCCCTTTAGGTATAGCAGCCGACAGTGTACTTGTCGTATGTTTGTGCAGCACCATCGAAGTGAACAAACTATAAGAGGAATTGACACTTTTCTCTAACTGTTGCAGCGCATCTTCATCTTCACAGACTTCAACATCATCGATCATTCTGAGCAATTTCGCCTTGAGGGATTGTTTTGTCCTGTCTATGGTACTTTCCCCATTCTCGCCCACAATTCCTTTATTAAGACAGTCTCGTAGAGGTTTATCTCGTTGGTGCTGTTGTGGTATGCAGTATCACTAGATGCTTCCCGGTAGTCAGGATCCATGGAGCTATTTTCTGGGCGTGGGAACTGACTAGGGTTGTCTTCAAGAAGCTACCCACATTCAAACATCTGTTCACGACCTTACTCAATCATTAAGAATTTTATTATATGAGTGTCACACTGTCTTTTTCTCTCTACTTTCGCATCTCGCAGACCCTTACACGGGGATTTACTTATAATTGTTTTGATAAAAGCGCCTGGGGGGGGGGGTCGTACTGATCATATAATAAATATTACTGAAGAAGTACATGGCCCTGCATTAATAAAAGAGGGCTTCATTTAAAAGCATTGTAGAGTTCAATATAGGAAGAACGTAGTAAAACGCTCTTTCAGTTTTTATCTCAGTGTATAAATTATTTAGCCAAAACGAATGGCAAAAAACAATAAAAAATAAAAAATAAAATAATGAACGCATGAGTAGGAGCTATTCCTGTCAGCGGTGAAATACAGGAATGGCTCCAGTCTCTGATCGTCCGCCTGAACTGGCTAAATGAGCTTAGTCAGCGGAGCTAGTCAGTGAATAACTCTGTCATCGGCAGAGTAACGCTAAACTACCTCATTGGACAAGAAAGGCTCTGCAATCCCTTCGTTATGTTAGTAACCATTTCTTGTTTGATACATCGGTGTTTTCACTTGCATTGATATTTCATTGTTCCGCTTCAAGACACACGGGTAAACAATACTCACGAGCAAGGAGTTAAGATATAACTTATTAACTTTTACTATTTTTATCATCCAATTACAGGTTGGAGCCATTCCTGTATTTAGTCACTGGTGTAGGGATGTACTCGGTGACTTATGAAAGCGTTACCGTTGCCCGTGGGCAGAGATAGGAAAATATGGACTGTACTAAGAACCAATCAGATTGCAGGATTCGTTTCCGTGACCTCTAAGAAAAAAGTAAAAATCCCTATCCAGTGGATAGGTGTTACAAAGCATATAGCGTTATCCATCAGATAGAGATTTATTCAGTGGATAGCACCATTCAGCCTTTCAACAACCAGGGCAAGGTGCTTTACCATCAGGACAAAGCACTTTTCTCTTTATTCTGGTTACTTAGAAACACTGGGAAGTCCTGGCCAATCAAGATAATTTCATGATTGAGTAAAACCATGTCACACCACCCAATAAATGTCACAGTCAGTTTTATTTAACCCTTTAACTCCCAAGATCTCATTAGTAATTCTCCTTACTGTCTGCCATACAATTCATATAATGTTAGTTTGGAGAATTTGGAATTGGATCAACTAATAATCCCCTCATTGATATTTTCTTTATTCTCTTTACTCGTCTGCTTGATATTGTACTGATAGTGTAAGGAGAAATTCTGTCTTGGTCACTAGTGGGACTTAAGGGGTTGACCTGGTCTTTTTGTTAGTTTTGAAACCAATGTCAATCAGCCTACCTTTTTATTAGAACCAATAGCAAGTTGTTAGATTCCATAGGAGTTGTTTTCTATAGATTCTAATTTTAACCCACGTGACCAGTGGAATGGGTACAATATGAAATTCCCTTACCATATCTCTGTCTTGTGACGTCTTTCAGTCATAAGGAATTATCTGAGTTCTGTCCATTTGACTGTGGCTACATATGCAAGACAAGTTTTAATTATACTGAACTTTTCATGGTGTCAATTAACAGAGTAAAACTTACAATCAGTATACATACCACAACCTTAGGTGATTCTATTCATTAATACAAGCACCCTGTTATCGTGATCATATTCTCGTGGCCTATTGGTGGTAATGCAGGCAGTTACAGGGCAATGAAGGTTCATTTGACTTCTATTTTTCTGTCCATATTGGCAGCCTGCAAGAGCTAATGACACAACTCCTGAGAACACAACTGCAAGGCAGGAACTGAAGCAGGGGGAGAAATCAAGTGAAAGTTAAAAGGAACAAAGAGTTTTGGTGTTTCGTTCTACTTGCCATCTTCTTTCTTCCTAAAATACTTATTTTATGTCAACTACATCCTCACACATTTTTATTTTTGGTTTCTGTGGGATTGAATTGGCTTCTTCACCAAAAGAGAAGAAAATGATGCTGAAAAAAACCTGAGCCAAGCTCTTTGCCTTGCAAGTCAGACTGGCAGACAACAAAATGACAATGGATGGAAATAAATGTTTGGAAGGCATGTTTCCAAAAGAGATGAGGGGAATCCCCAAACTCATGGACACTAAGATTCCCTTAACTCTTTGACCCCTAAGAGTGACCAGCATCTAATTTCTCCTTACAATATCACTCGTTAATCACACATTTAGGTCTCAAGAATAAAGGAAATGATCACCAACTTAAGCAGCTCTTGATTGATGAACAAAATTCTCCTTGTCAGCACCTTAGGACATGTATGGAGAACAGTTGGGAGAATATACATAGTAATGTTTGGGTGTAAAAAGTTTTCATCTGCAGCTTTGACTACGTGACCATCGTATTCATGGTCATGTAATATCAAACATAAACCGTCTCCGGCCAAGAGTAAATTTGTAAAAAGACGCTTCAAACGGTCCATGAAGGCTAAAAAAAAAAAAATAACACAAATATATATAATATAATTTAATTGAGATAGTTAGACCGAAAGGTAATTTGGGTATGCAATTTTCAGAGCTTTATTTATAAGCGTCACGCTTATAAAGAAATATACAAATATATAATACATGCATGTACAGCCTTTTTTTTGCCTTAAAGAAAGGCATTTTTTATCGTGTACGATTCAACAGCGATTTTGCAACTAAGATCTGTATGTTTTGGTGCCTATTAGCCTGTGTCAGGGCTCCTGCCTGTGCCTAATAGCTAAGAAGGCCGTACGCACGTGCGCTACGTTATGGTGTCGAGTGTACTTAACACAGGTTCTGCTCTTGTAAATCCTTCTCGTGACCACGAAAATAACCACCAGTTGTTGGTACACTTCGTGATACATACACATATAGGTAGCCGCATTGCACAAAATGGCGGATGAATAACAGCACACCACCTTTTCGAATATTTCCCGCCGTTCACGAAAATGAATTAAGCGAGAGGAATAAAAGAAGAGGCCGGTGCAATTTTTCGCAGTTTTTGCCAAAGAAGATTAGACGTAGGGGATCGAAGAAGACATCTGATTTGAGTACTACGGTCACCACCTCGACTGGTCAAGGTGATTTCGAAAATCCTTCTCATCAGGCGTTGCAACCTAGACCAATTTTACATGCTTTGCTGGTAAGTCTTAATTTTGCATCTATTAAAAATATTTTCGATTCTGTTTTTTACAGTCATTTTAAGCTTAAGTTCTTCTAGCATGTACTCTATAAATTATATTCGGGTGTGCCACATGTCAGGAAAAGATCAGGAAAGAAGTCATGGAATTTTATTTTGAGTCATGGGTAGTTGGCATGTTTAAAAAAAGTCAAGGAAAACTGATGTCTGTAGTAACCAAGATATTTCTTATTCGACAGACTGTTTTTTTTTTCACAGATATATGGGAAACTGTTTTGTTCATGAGATGTGATGAATCACACACAATGACAGTATTAATTTTTTTATTCCTCGTTATTTTCTTTTATATTGGGCTGAAGCTTATATAATTAATACCTCCTCTTTTCCAACGAGGATTTTACATGCATTTTTTAATTAAAAACAGATCTCTTACCATACAAAGGAGTGTAAATTTCACATAGTAAAGTAGACCTTTCCTCCTACACAAGACTCAAACCTTGGTAGTATTAATACATCACTGTATACATACAATATAAAATATCCTAATTGCACACCTTTGGTATCCATAATTAGTTTTGATTTTGTGTAATATTTTATATCTAATGTTTAATATTTATTTATATTTTGGGTTCTCTGTACTGTAGTTTCTAGTGCATCTTGTACATGTACAGGGAGGTTAGACATTCTGTGACATGGCACAAATTGTTTGTGGTTTGTACCCATGGGGTCTATCAAAAATGTCTGTTTTTTAATTGGTCAGCACAGTAGCTATGTAGATTACTCATAACTAGATATCATGTACTACTTGTGCTTATGCCAAACAAAATTAATTGTTTACCTTACATCTTTTTTATCCTCTACCATCAGGAAGCCAAATATGTGATTGTTGAAAGAGAACCCAGGGATAACATTTGGATCTATCATTGCAAATTTGTTGAAGGCACAAGGCAAACAGATTATTTTCAGTCATTGTCATCAACAGTCACAGGAGATAGTTAGTACAAGCATATAAACTGAGATAAATAATTTATAAAAATGCTCCAATAAATTGTATAACTGTATCTCATGTGCACATTCATTAAGTGCCATTTATTTCTGCTTATACATTAGGAGGCAACTGCAGTTCCCATCCTCTTTCTTACAGCTTCTCTTTTTATTGTTACCAATTATTTCTCCAGCCTCCTTTAAGCACCCTCATGTGCTAGTCAAATGTTTTTTCTATTGAATTCTAACAACCTGAGTTGTGAAATGAAAGGCCCCAACTACTAGTAACAGGATTATAAGCTGTCTTCATTTAGCTATTTTGTTTTGAATCTGACCCCTGTGTCTTTGACTGTGTCCCAGGCCCCTGTGCCATAATTTTCTATTTTGCATTTCAGGATTAAATTGAGTAATAAATTATATGTAATAATAAGTATTGTTTATGAAATGTTTCTCACAGGTTTAACTGCAGCTAGTTCTGTTTATGGGAATTGCATCCATATTGAAGCCACTGAAAAGTTGATGGAAAGCTTTGAAAGGGAAAACAACGTCACCCCTTCACTTGCCAGAGACACATATTCTCATGATCACACTTACCAAGTAAGATGAATGAATTTTTTTTTGCTTTTGAACGTTAAAATTTTGGAATTATTACTAACATTAATCTTGCTTTTGTCAACATTTTCTGGTTATTTTTCACTCATCCTAATTATTTTGGTTTAAGTTAAATAATGTTAGAGCATAATTTATGTATTTAAACAGCTAGGCCCCCTTCAGAGTACAGCTATTTATGAATCTTAGTTTATTATATTCTTGGAGAAATGACAAGTGCATTATTTGCTGTAAGTAAGTAGCTGTAAACATCATATTTTTCCATTTGTATCTGTTATTTAAGTAAAGACTATCTGAAATGATTGTAGCATTTCCACAGTCTACTTACTTGTTGTTCTTGCTGTTTTTCTATCTCAGGAGGAACATCATGACTTATTGCCTTTGAATGGGAATAATTTTACCATTTTTGTACATGGAAATAAACAGCATGGAATAGTTGGCCTCCATGGTGTACTTATCACTTGCTTTTTCTGTGATCACCAGCGTCACAACTGTGAACATGTAACAAAAGTAGCAGAATCTGAGCAAACAACGGAACACGAAATGCCTGATTTTCTGATTGATTTTTTTACCGAGAAATATTTTCGAGAGTCTACTGAATCAGTTGCAGCAGCCATCACTTGGAAAAGTGGTGGCTGCTGAAAAGAGTGGAAAATAAGATCAGTATCTTGTAACAGAAATACCATTCCATCTATCAACAACACAAAAAAAGTATTCTCCTCTCTGGAAGATGTTCTTTGTGGCCAAATTTCAACCACTGATTTGGTGCTGCTTACTCCCAACTTGTCTCCCTCCTGCCCAAAGTGTTCATCGCAGTGCATTAGTCAGACTACACAAGCTTTGTGCTTTTTGAAAAAGCAGACATGGCAATGTGAAGGTAAGAAATTCCCTGTGTTAATTATCTGATCTCTTTAAGTGTTCAAGTAGTGTTCACTGTCATGAATGGGATAGAAATGGCTGAAAAATGAAAACCATACAGGGAAGGTTGTCCAGGTAATGTGAAAATTTCATTCAGATTTTAAACCAGTTGATTGGATGATAGCTGTCAACAGCCTGGCATGAGGCATCCATTGGGAGGAAAACCCTCAGCTGACAGCAAGCCAAATAAATTATGTTATTATTTTGCCTCAGCTCAAGGTGAATACAGGTGTACTGCTAAAAACCAACACAAGGTTTTTGTATAGCTCTAGCACAGACATTTCTCAGCCATGGATGGCAACCAGAAATCAGAAATGTTCTCCTCTTTGTTATATAATTATTACCAAATTTTCATTCGTAATCTTTTGTTTCAAATTCTAAAACTGGAGTTTTTAAATTTGGGGTGAAGTTATCAGTGCATCAAAAATAACAACATTCACCTTCCAGTTGTTGTCCATGGATCAAACTATTTGTCTGTGCTTAAGCTCCCTATTTACAATCATAATATAACTTAAATTTATATATTCTCCAAGCATAAATGTTCTGAATACAATATGAAATGGTTCATGCCTGTGGCTACTAACACGTCACTTATGAGTAATTTTAGTATCTTATTCTGTATCATAAATTAATTCTCTGTTGCAGTTTAAAAGTTGAAGTCTTACAGGCCTACACACTTATTACATGTTACTTTGATGTTGTGTTGAGAATGGCCTAATGAAAATTACATAATGTTGAAATTTTTTCAAGTAATCACATACCACCCAATAGTTAACAGTGAATTTGAAAATAACATTATTGTGACATCTGAATACCAAATAATGTACTTTGTTCGATAAATTTAAATGTTTCTGGAACACACGCAGCAGACACTTATAACAACAATTATAATTTACAACAATTATACTAAACAATCAAAGACTCATTTGTCTGCACATGATGGTTTACAATGAGAATCAGGTACCAGAAAAAAAACAAATAATCAACAAATTAAGAGCTGAGGGTTCTGATTTATTGTATCTCTGAAGTTTTGCCTGTGACATTGACTGAAAAGCATTGTCTTAACCCTTTAACTCCCAAGATCTCATCAGTAATTCTCCTTACTGTCTGCCATACAGTTCTTGTGATGTTAGTTCGGAGAATTTGGTATTGGATCAACTTATAATCCTCAAATTGATATTTTTCTTTATTCTCATCACTTGTCTGCTTGATATTATATTGATATTGTAAGGAGAAATTCTGTCTTGGTCACTCATAGGAGTGAAAGGGTTAAGAATGATATAAAATTGTACATGTATGTCATTCAATTGTCTTTCAAAAAGCTATATTTAAATTATGTTCTCTTTTTTTAGGTGCACTCTATTTACATACCACGGTGTCTGGCAAGAGATCATGGCTGATGCACATGTATTGGACTTCAAGAGGATGTTATTGTACTACCACTGGCGTTTTGCTTGCTGCAGTTTCCTGAACCTTCTTGACATAAACTATGAAGAAGGTTTTTGTTGTGCCATCTGTGGCAAAGATAACAGTCTGCACACTGTCATTTGTGATGCTAAAGCACTATCCTTCAGACAAGAGCTTTGTACTTCTCTGAAGTCTACTTATTCATCACTGAGTCCATCGACTGTACCATGAGAAACAGGAAGATAAGTTGCTATTTATGCTTATGATTTTTTTAAAAAATATTCTATGCATTATTTATTCTATTATTTTGGTTCCCAGTATGATTCAAGGAGTTCTATTTTAGAATGTGAGCATGATATAATATATTAATCTGTTGATGCAAAGACTATGACTTGATTCAGTTTGATTACTGATTAATATAATCATTTTAAATATTTTTAATCCTTCACCTTGGGCTGGCACCTTGTCGTGGTGGTGAAGCTTGTGTGTCTCATTGACCCTGCAAAGACCTTGGAATGAGGTCTTCTTTTTCTGGATCAGTTGAGGGGTTGAGACCAGACTAAGACCAGCTCCAGTTCCTCCTACATTCAGTGAGATGGACTTTGAATGTGTCTAAATATCACCTGTTTTTATTTGCTTTGTTTGAAGAGATCTGCATTTAGGCTAATTATTTAATATTTTATGACATCACTAGGCATCGTGACAGGGTTTACCTTGCTGAAAAACATGTCAGGCAGATGGTGGATCAAGTAGGCCGTGATGTTAGCAAGGTTACATTACACAGTAATGACCTCTTTACACCTGGAGTTGCAGCATTGTGCACCTGCCTAAGGTAGTTTTCTTTCCTGGTGCATTTTGTTCTGTGGATCTGATGTCTCTTTTCCAACACCTATTACTGGACTTTTCAATGCATTAGGAAAAGCTTCCCCGGTGTGTGCACTTCTCCCCCAATTGGACTCCTTGGAAACATTTTACCGCAGACTCATTGGCAACGGACCAGTCGAGCAGTGTCCTGAAGACATGCTTCTACTCCAGCAAACTTTTCCCCTCCTGTTTGACATTGTGGAAGGAGATCAGCTTCTTGAGACCTTGACTGCATTTATTACTGACCTGTTGGAAAAAGCAAAGTCTCCGTTCAGCAGAAATGGATCAATACCAGATGCTGTGCAATTGGATGTACACCGCACAAATGATGTAGAATACTATCCTTGCCTGCCTGTGGTAAGAAATCGTGGTGACTATTGCCTGGATGACACAACTCCAAACATCTGCGCAAAGAGGAGTACTCGACACCCATCCTTACTTCCTGGAGTTTTCTTAGTGCACTGTAAACACGGTACAATAATGTTATGAGTTTGTATTAATATTTGTATTAATTTCTACGACGAACAACATTACTTCTGATTTTAAAAAATGTAAATTTCAGTTCACTCTGACCCCCAACTAGCTATTGTTACCCTTTGTTTATTCCAGATTATCCTGACAAGCTCCGGGTTTACGCTCTGCCTGTGGTTTTAGTTATCAGGTTTAGGTTTTTCTCAACAAATGTCATTTTCTTGAAAGACCGAAACTGTTTGTAACGCTTAGTTTTCAGAAGCATAACATCTGCAGCTGTCAAGTCAAAGAATCGCACAAATTAACTGACTTGCCTGTTTTGTTTTGTTTGTTTTTTGCTGTTTACTGACTAAATCGAAGTTTTTCTTACAATTTATTGGCTAAATGGCATAACGACTTGTATAAATAAAGGTTGTTGATTTCTATTGTCTAGTGATGTACCCCAGTTACACCCTCTCTTCAGCCTTTATTACATGTTCTTACACAACATGCTTTCAGGCACTCAGTGTACCCAGTGTTGCTGTGATTATGTTTAAAACGGTTTTATATCCTCTCTTTTGATTTCCATTTTAGGTACAACTTATGGATTTAGTGTAATGCTTTGCAATGAATCTCCCAACATCCCATTTACAGTGTTTTGAATGCGTTTCTCAGGAGGTAAGCTCGATTTAATGTGCATGTGTATGTTGTGGCCTTTGATTGGATGCCGTTGTGTGTGAAGAAAATTTCTTTTTATTACCTGGGCCCGGTTTAAAGGATGCATAACGCTATTCACCGGAAAAATCACTATCCAGTGGATAGCGTTGTATGTTATCACAACACTTAAAGGTGAGTAATGATTAATTCTGTGGATAGCGTTATCCACCCGTTGGACAACCGGGGCCTGGTTTTTTGGGAGTTTTTCTTCTCTTGATTTCCTCTATCAGAGTGATTTTATATTAAACGAGTCATAATAAATGTAGGTTCATTACAATTTTTCTGCCTTTTTTTTGACAGATCCCTGCCAGATTGTCTACAACAACGCTTACAATTTGCGTTCGTGTTGTTAAATCGGGATCCTGTCTTTTTCAAGAACTCTCAGTTCCTTGTGGATCGATTGCGTTGGCGGAATCATACAGGTACGTAAATCACCCCAAAACTGGCTTTTTTGGTTTGGCCGTCTTTCATCTTCGGTGTTCATTTAACTATGCTCTCGGGTCTATCCCCTCCTACTAATCTAATGGCACATTACGCACATTTATTGAAGCACATTCGAAGTAATGTTTTAATCTTAACTTTGTCAGTACCAATGCAAAGCAATCGAACATGTTTTTGTTTTTTTTCAGGTTGCTCTGATGCTTACAACCTCTCCCGTTATCCTCAGTGGGACACCTTAAACAGTCAGGCAGCAGAACAAGCCAATTCATGCTTGAAGTCTCTCAAAGGATCCTTGTCATACATGAACGAAAAGAACTTCATGACTCATTGTAAAATATTCATTTGGTATCGAAATTCGCTACGGCGTAAGCAGCTCGAGTCCCAAGGTGTAGCAATGTAACAGTTTTCAGTGGTTATACAGTTTTAGAAACTGGAATAAATGGTAGAAAAGAACGCGGTGGTTAAAGTAAAACAGTTTTTAGTGGTTTTACAGTTTTAGCTAGTTTTAGCGTCAAGTGCCTGCTGAAGCCGTCGGTTGAAAATCAGATCTTTCGCCTTAATTAATTCGACTAATTTGAACAGATCGGCGGCCGCTGTGTAACGAATTGTCTCTAGTTTGTCGATACATTTCAAGCTTTATCTTGAATGAAAATTGACCGTTATTTATTTTAGCGTGGTAATACAGTGTGGATTTAAATTAATTTGAACAGGCTGTCCAATGCAAAACGGCCTGTCTTATTTTATTTCGAACATTCCCGCCCTTTTCAATTTCTTTCTTGTCTGCATCTTGAATGAAAATTAATCGTTTTGAAGTTTCTTTCAAGTTTGTTTCATTCGGCGACTGTTAGTTGGGAATTTGAGGCTTCATCTCATAAAGTAATTGATCTCTTGTTTCTGTTTATTTTCACATTTCGGCATTTTCTCGCGCTGCGTAGAAATGATTTGATTTCTTATAGTTTCAAAACTGGTTTCTACTCTCTGTTTTGTTTTGATTTTTACGTGTTTTGTCTTTTGTTGTTGCCGTGAGCTAATTTTGAACATCTTGAGTTCATTTAACTGATTGCGTCTCAAGATCATTTGAGGTGCCATGGGCAGATTTTGCTTTGTCATGAAAGTATTTAGTTTAACCGTAGGCGACTTTAATTCAACACCGATGATCCACTATAAACTGTACTTTTAATATTTCAGCCGCTTATTTACCAGAATGGGAAAAAAATATATTCTTAAGTGCAGTAAACAACACATAACCGTGGAGCTCCGCTTTTAGGCTTGCCTAAATATATATATTAACAAGACTAAATGATAGAAAATAGTTTCTTGCCTTTTGTTTCCCTTTCTTATCTTGATCATGATTAGTAACACTTGACTGACTACAAGGCTGTTCATTGCAATGTAAATGATTTTCTTAAGTCGGACAAAGTTTCGATTGTTTTGTCCGCGTAACGTCATTATTCCGGTTTATTCCGAGTAATTTAAACATACTTATCAAATGAGTTGGGCCTTTTTTGTGTTGCGGTTTCGTTTAAATACCCTTCCTGTTTTGGTACAAATGCTTATGATGGATAGATTTACCGCATTAAGGAAACAAGGCTGCATAGAAAAGGTACATCGTATCGGAAGTGTGAAGATGAGGAATTTTTCTCGTTGGTTTAGAGAAGTGACCTGGTGTAGCACCTAATAATTATTTCATTTTAAATAACCTAAGACGTATAACCACCAACAACTGTATTATTTTCTTGAAATTTATTCCTGTTATTAAGGGTTTTCAATAACTAAACCACCGCACTATTTGTATCAAACATAAGAAAGTACACGATAAAATACGCGAAGTTAAGAGCGGACTGGATTTAATTTCCTGAAGCACCTGGATCAAAACTTTCGCCAATGTATTGCTGACCACAATTTGATATGTGGTTTGTCATGATGATGTAATAAAACCGACAATTATGTTTGGCAAAGTGAGCCTAAAACTATCTATGAAGTTGCTGCCGAAACAAGACTATTTTGAAAGAAAATTGAAGCTCTAAAATAATTGAGATCCTCTTTTTCCATGATGAACTTGATTATGCTCTGAAAGATAAGAAGAAAAAGCATGAACTTTTTAGACAGTTGTGGTTTAAAATAACTTCCTAAAAAAAAACGGTTTGCAGTGTACACCCTCTGGAAATATAGCATACTGGAAATCTGTCAACCCAAAAAGTTACATGTAAAACACTAGGCAAGTTTGGAGGTGACCGTCACAGATGAGGCTTGTCATCAAAAACTCCCTTTTTTAAGCTGGAAAAGTCGCGGTAAATAATTGAAAGATTAAAATATGATAAGTCTTCAGATACTAAACCATAAGCCGTGCCGTTCTAGAAACAATTTCAAATACAATACTTCTGGTAGCATCACATCCATAAAGAGCCGGGTCTGTAGGGAAAGGTCTTTCGTAAGTGAAGCAATGATAGGCATTGCAACTGCTGTCATGCGCTCGGCCTGTTTGTTTGAAAACGAAAGGATCATAATGTCAATAGGCACTAGATAAAAAACGCAAAGGTCGCTTTACTTTTTTGTTAGTTTTAAACACCCTGCATGTTGTGTACCATGATAGCCGAAAATCGCGAAACTAAACTAAACTAAGGCCGTGCGAGCATATTATTTTTGCGTTATGCGGAATAATGGCATTTAAACAATCATATTTTAAAGAACACTGAAAAAACGAAATTACGTCGCAAAGCAACTTGTCCCTGTACACAATCAGTAATTGTCGATGTCCTACAAGCGATTCTAAGTATCGCAATTCTTTTTGTTCAGATATTTTTAAATCTACAAATGAAATTACCGCGTGTCCTCCGAGGGGTCCAGTTGTTACCAACCTCATCAAGTCTCGGTGCGACAAAAGACGATGTTCGGTGTTCAGTGCCAACCTTAATGTATACTTTTGTTAATTAGGAGTTCTGTTGTTGATGTCTGAAAATGAAAGGAAGCAATACAAACTTTAACCCGTAATTTAGATTTGATAAAATCTTTATAATAAGTGTATCGTTAACGTACAAACCTTCAAATACGCCTTCGCTAGAAACCGTAGAATGCCACCTTGGTTTGAGTACACCGATCTACAAAATATAATAGATAAAATGAACAGTACGCTACGTTTAAAAACATTATAAACGAGCCAAAACAAAAAAGCAGCAGAGAAAGTACAGTGGAATCAAGATTTTTTTTAAACATTCAAGATAAACAAAACTTTGTTCAAATAATAAGGTAGCTTTAGGAATCGGGGTAAAGTTACAGTGTTTGACTGAGGGAAGGGAAACAGCATTTCAAGGGTTCGAGTTATCAGGAGGTTCGAAAATAGGGATTCCACTGTACACTCACATGTCGTGGCTCCGATATGGGTGGGGCAACGTGCAGCCACAATCCACTATGGTGGAATCCTTGGCCTCTTCGAGAGAAATGCCCAAACAAACGCAGTGGTACCACTCAAAGCAGGTAAGGCACTGCACCATCTCATTGCGACTTGAATGTTGGGTGTTAAATCCTCGCCAAAACACGCACAAGAAAGCATCTAATGCAACACACTTCCATGGCAGAAGGGGGCATATATGGTTGAAGGTGTTTCCTTGTCCTGTAAGTGGCAGCCAGATGATGTGAAAAGGCCCCTCTTCCCTGTCTGGCTGGAAGCAACAAGGAGGACTTTGTTTTGTGTTGTACCATACAGCCCCAGACAGTTCGCAGTGCTGTTGTATTGGTTTCTTCAAAAAGCCGGCAGCAGAGGTTACCTGCAAGAGTTCTAAAAAAAAAACTGCGGATGTCAGTATTGTAATGCCAACTTGCCTGGAGAAACGAGCTGATAACTGGTTGTAATAAGATGATAAAGATGTGGAATTGATTCAAAAGAATGTGAGCCAGTCCTTAAAACGAACAAGTCACAAGTTAGTTACCAATATCAGTAAAATTCTGTAAGGCATTGAAGACTTGGCTTTGGACACTTTTTGCAACAATTTCCTGAATGGATTTGTCTTTAATTTCCTGAACCTCGTTTGGTGAAAGGCTCACACTGGCTGCCCACTACAAAGCATCGCCTCTATCACTAAAATGCCACGCATTCTGTAAAAAGAAATATGACAGAAGCACAAAGTAACTCCTTTTAAAGTTATATTGCGAATGGAATATAATTTTTCGAAATGCAGTTTAGTTACTTCTAAAGAGAGGGTTATAAGTAACTACAGGAACGGTTAACACGACACTGAGATGACTACTATTCCTACAATTTTAGCCAGTATTGTATTGTAAATAATCATGCAATTCAGCCTTATTAGGCTGCCATGGGATTTTTAATAAAGATATCTATCCATCTACTACAAATATTAGTTTATTGGACAGTTGTCAAATATGATTGAAAACCATGTGCACAAAAAATCATTGTGTAATTATCAAAAGTGATCAAAGGATTTTGGGTTTTGCAAGCAGTCAATGAAACAAATGAAGTTGATGAAAAGAAATGAATTGACATGAATGGCAGTTAGTGTTTACAGGATAAAGAAAAAAATCACAACCTTATATATTGCTTGCTAAGTAATCTGAGAATATCAAAGTAGCAAATTTCTCTAACAGCTGGATTAAAATATTTCTGTATAACAAGCAACCACATAAACAAGCACCTAAAGAAAGAACTAATAAATGAATTTTAAAAGATTAATTTAAGATTGATTTATCATGCCTCAGTCTCAGCTTTGAAAAGGAGATCCAGAGGTTGACCTCTGTTAAAGTTCACTTAAAACATAAAACAAGGATGTTAAAATTGTACACTAATAAGCTTAGCAAACATAACAAAAAATAACTGATTGTTCTTACTGCATCAACAATGTGGTTATAGTGAGCGAGACCATACATTGCTGCACCCAGTCTAAAAAATTCACTGTCACTTTCATGTCCAGACATGAGTATGGATAGTGAATTATAAAAGCAGTTTCCATCCCCACTTGAGTAGATGGGCTCCAGACCAAGCTCATAAATGGACTGGTCAACATAGCTGGAAAATCTCTAAAAGCAATAGAATATGAAGTTAATAACAACCAATACAATAAAATTTATCAATGAAAAAAATGATAATAGTAACAATAATAATGATGATGATGATCGTTCCAAGTTAATAACTTTTACTGAACTTTTTACTGCTCAGGAAGTCTGTGCTGATTCTTGCTGCTGATAAACTGACGTGGAGAGATCTTCAGGAAATGTTCCAGGCTGTGAGGAGATGAACTTAAGTTCACCTCCCAAGGCAATCTGACCATGCACCCTAAAATGTCCCTTGCAATTTGGGGCCTTATGATTGTATGGATTTCAGTCTAGGAAAAGAAAACACACCTTGCATTAATAGGTAGATCACAAATTAGTGAACAAAATAACATTAATATTAATAGTTAAAGGCTGTTAATTAACTCTCATGAATGTTTGCCCTCATGATGGATTCCTCATTAAATGCCCCAACCCTAATCATCAAGTTGAAAAAAAAAACTTTTTGAACATCACACTAAAGAGCTGGAATTGGCCTGGCATTAGTGGACCCTTAAACAAACAATATCCACCTTTTGGAGTTAGTAGGACCAAACTGCTTGGACATAGCCCCCTTACCAAGCTTCTAGCTAAACAACTGGTATTAAAACTTAAGCTGACAGCTGATGAAATGACATAGAGAAATGTTCAGGAATGGTAAATTCAAAACAAAATACTTGCATCCTAGACAAGATTAAATTGTGAAATAAATAAATGAAATAGTATGTTTGTTTATTTGTTTGTGACACATACATGCACAAAAAAGTAATGAATGAAAAGAAGGAGTTCAATTAATAACAGGAAGCTTACGTCTTCATTCAGTTTTCCTAGAATACGCAGCATCTTTGATGTTTGGATCTGATTCAGTTCACTGCAGGTTTGCAGTACAGATTGCCACATATTACCACAGTAAACTGATTCACTCCCAAATTTCCTCTCAACAATGTCCTCAAATACAAGAGAAGGTTGAACGTGACCTTCAGGAGTTGCAAAGGGAGGATCAGAAATGGAAGTGGTGACAGCAGGTGTTGATGAAGGAGCAGGAGGGCAAATGGGGCTTGCAAAAACTTCAGGGGCAGATGAGGGAGGATCTGAAATAAAAGTAGAAGCTGGTGCTGATGATACAGGAATGGGAATCACAGGACTGTGAGCAGAACCATTTACTGTGATGTCAACCTCTTGAGGGTGCTGTTGTTGATTCCAATTTATGTATAAATGCATTACTGAAATTAAGTTGTCCAGATGTGGTCGCTGGCTGCTTTGTGAGCTCAACTTCTTCAGGCCACCAAACTGGTCTGCATGCTTCCTTCCCCATCCAGGCTTAGATCTCCCTACATGAAAATACACGATATAAATTCTGCAAATCTACAGGAAAATTGACAGTGGGTGCTTAAATTTTTACAGTTAACAACTGCATTGCTATGCAATTTAGCACTTTAAAGAAACAAAATCGTGGGTTGTATGATTAGAATAGACAAATTCTATAGCCTTTTAAGTATATCAGCCCCAAAACTGTTTGCATTTGTGAAAAACGAACCGTTTATCCAGTTTGCTTTCTTAAATTTCTTTACCATCTTTTTTGACTTCCCTAACAACCATTTTCCTCAGATCTACCACTCTAAATTGCACAGGGTCTTCTGGTGGTATGTCATCATCAGCTGCCATTTCTTGAGCTTGAACTTGTTGCACTATAGGAAATAAACATTCAAACTGTATTGTACTGTAAATTAAAATCTGGAAGCAGAAAGGTGGGTACTTATAACAGATGCAAAACAAAATGATGTTAAAATGCACTCAGAATTTAATGAATTAAACTAGTTAAAATAAGTATTACTTGTATAGAGAAGTGAATGAGAAATCAGAAAAATGTTCCATATCTTCCATACCTTAAAATATACTGTGGGCTGTAAATAACATCAATCAGTGCCTTAAACTGTCAAAGCATTAAACCTGTTGCAATCCAGAACTGGCCTTTCCAAAATGCAAAGCAGAGTGCTGACAGCTTAGTCCTAGCATACCATTCTTGCATCTAAAAGCAAAAAGAGAGAAATAAAGCAAAAATAGAGGAAGAAAGCCAAGCAGACAGACAAACAGAAAGGAAGGAAGGAAGGTAGGGCTAGTTTAGAATAAAAAAAAAATCCTGAGGTACTGCATTGTTAGGGATGTAGATACAAACAATTTCAACCCCGATATCATGAGCTTAAAAAACAGTTTTTATTTAAAGTCTTGTTAAATTACATTGGGAAATTCAAATAAATAAATAAATATAAAAAATATATATATAAAATTAAAAAAAGGAAACACTGAAATACTTTTGTTTGCATAGACTTCATGTACCGTCTATCCATCTGGTTACGCTTGTTTGAGTCTGTCTCAAACGCCACCTGAAAGAAAATAGAAAATGAAAATCTCATATACAACAGCTTGCAACCTGAACAATGAAATCATGCTCCCACACGTGAAATATAAAACTTACAAAAAAATGAATCTCTTTTTCTTGCACGACCAGCAATAGCTGGGGGATCCTCCTCGTGACTTTGGGCTTCCTAAAAAAAATAAGGAATATCGAAAATAGATCGGTGTGAATTAAAAAAATTAAATACAAAAATACCACACGATCACGATTCTCCGGGAAAGTCTGATATGCTCGTTGTAACAAAAAGAAAAGAGCTACGGAAGAATGAATGTCAGCGCCGAGAAATATACTTGCTCCTTTTTACAAAATGTGATAAAATTAAAACGCATTCTTTCCGCCATAATGATGGGCCACTGTAATAGGTGGTGTATGTATCATGAAGTGTACCAGCAGCTGGTGGTTATTTTCGTCCCAAAGCCCCTCACGGTTTCAAAATGGCGAATTATCGTGGGACACTCGTTAAATCATATCTCTTGTGACTCGTCTTGGTTCAGCCCTGACACTGGCCATCGCTCTTCGGAATCATGTTTTTCAGGGTGTCACCTCTGCATGTTGACATTGTTATCGATTTGAACGTGAAAGCTGCCTCATCAAACGTTCTCACAGTTGTGCGTTTTGCTCCCCTTAACTATACAACAGATGCACGTGAAGTCATAGACTGGCTTTTATTTTGTATTAGTTAACTCCAAGGAACAAGCGGAACGCAAACATCGTCATGTTGATATTTTAGGGAAGGAGAAGGTGGTGACGACGAGGAGCTGCCGGAGGAAGAGTCTGCAGCTTTTAGTGAGTGAAATGTTTTCATCTGGTACAAATTCAACATAGCAACCTTGATTTTTGAATGCATATCCACAAGAATGATCAAAGTTAACTCTATTTTTCGCAGTAGATCAGTATGTTCGTGTTGAACGTGATAATTTTACTCCATTTGAATGATAGTTTTGTTTGAATGTGTAGTTGTTGACCCACCCCCCCCCCCCCCACGTTTCCCTCAGCTTCTGCTGCTCCCAGTTCTGCTTCCCCTGTAGTTAGTAGCTTTAGACTTTTCAAAGAGCATTAGGCTAATTTTCCAGATGATGAAGCTGTTAACAGGCCTGTAAATTATTCTTTTCATGATTTCCCAATGACATTGTGAGACAGTTTTTGAGAATTATGAGTCACCTGTGAATACCAAAGTGAAACCAGCCCCCTGTTCCTCTTCCTAACCAACCTCCTCCCCAAGTTGGTGGAGTTTAGGAGTATTTCAGTTTTCCAGTTTTCTCTGGGAAATAGATATGCTTGGTGGTATGTCTACAGAAAGGCAGGGAATCTTTAAGAGTTTAGTCTTACCATAGTGCCCCATAGTGTCAGAAGTACATTCATGCAAATGATGATTCCAATTGCTGCACAGTGTGTCATACTAAGGAGTGTTGTTATGATAGTTAAATATTTAGCATACTATTTTACCCTCTGCTTGATTTTAACCATAGGTAGTGGTTTAAGATTTTTTGTTTCCTTAAAGAAAAATACCAAAGAAGAATAAAAAAAGAGAAAAAAACAAATTGAAAATGTGAAGAAAGGAAATACAGAATACCATAGTTGCCACTTTATAGCATTTATCTTTGTCAGCCATGAGGTATGATAGTTGTGTTTTAATTCTTAATTTGTCGGACGGGCCTCCCATTGAATGGTAGGGATAGTGAAAGGCAAAATTATTCACTTGGTAACACTTCAAGTACTGTCCCTGAGCTGAAACACCCCTTATTTTTGTCCAAAAATACTCTTTCAGAGTTGTTATTAGTTACTGACAAGGGCATACTTAAAACATAGGCATGCTATGCATGCTTTTTTGATGGGTGGGTCAAAATGGGAAACTAAGCAACTGATTATTGCATTTTTGTAAAAGAAAAAGAGTATTTACCTATGAAAGATTCTGATGAAGATATTGTTAAATGGAGAGCAAAAAAACAAAACCTTCTAGTTTATCAGAAATAACTCAGAGAAACATTTTAAGGTCTATTGCCACTGGTGTCTGAATAATTGTTAGCAAAAATGAACAACATTAGTGCAGAAAAGTGGTGAGAAAAGTATCATATTTCAAAGCATAACAACATGGGCTCTTTATTTGGTAATTGCCTATCTGTACTTTGCCCCATTTGTGCGGAATACATGATAAGATGCAGGCTGTCTAGAAGGAATTGACATGTGATAGGGTGAAGTCCTAGGCAGCTAAAAGTGAATTTGATCGCTAGATAATATCTCAGCATGTGAGAATTGCATGGAAAATTGACTAACAGTAGTATTTAGTTCCATGTGAAATTTTTTCAGTGGAGTGGGGTTATGTTGTAAAATTTAGGTTGTTTACTGGAAAATGGCATACTAGCTGAGTAAGTCTAATCCATAGCAACAAGTTAACATGTAATTGTATCAGGAAAATACCTTTTAAACACAAGATGACTAACAGAAGCATGGAGAACTTTTAAAAGCAAAAATAAACAGATAGTCCACATCACAGTTGACGCAGAAAGTAAATATAACTTTGTGATCTTTTCAGCTTTGGCAAAAAGAGCAATCAAAAGGCAAAAATTGTGGTACCCTAATTTCATGATGTGATAGGCATGAGGGACAGTATTGTGACACTCTGATTGGTGCAAGCATACCTCATTGCTGTGATCTGATTAGTGTGAGATACATACCCTGATGCACAAGTCAGATTAATGCAAGATACATATCCTAATGTGCCCATCCAAGATAAATATCTTTTTATATGCCAACATAGGGTCATATACTTCATATTTCAGCTAATAACTCAAAATCATTAGAAAATTAATCTTTACTCTTTTTCTGGAAATGTGAATTTTCAGAAAATTCTGATCTGTCTGAGTCAGAGCATCTGCTGTATTTATCACTCTTCAGGGGAACAAGCTCCTAAAACTCAGTGCTACTGTTCTGGCTCAGTAAAACACATGCACGCATCATGTCTGTTGACATGGTTCAAACAAAAGGTAAAGAAAACTTGTGATGAAATTAGAAGATCCTCGCAGCTAAGAACACTACTGAAACTAGTAGTTGTAAGTAGGACCTGAAAAAAATTTCAGGCCCGTACGGGATTTGAACCCATGACCTCTGCGATACCGGTGCAGCGCTCTACCAATTGAGCTAACAAGCCAACTGGGAGCTGGTCAATGAATTGGGTACAAATAAACATCCGAGTGAATGAAGATTTAGATATATGAAAATTCACATATTTGCACTGCGGTGGAAAGATGAAATTAGAAGATCCTCGCAGCTAAGAACACTACTGAAAACTTGTGAATTGTGCCATTTAAGTGATATCAAGAAAAAGGGCAAACCATATATGCTGAGGTAATTGTTATTTCTAAGCCCTTTTCTATTGAGTTGTATTGGTACAGTTGATCTTCATTTTACCAGGGTCAACATTTTTGTTTTCATTGTCATCATTTTCACCACCTTTGTAACCTTTGTCATACCCCTCCCCCCTTGGTCCTCTCTTTTCCCCCCCCCCTCTCTTTGAACTTTCATCCCTCTCTTCTCCCATGTTTCTGTTGGGAAATTGAACAGATATATGAAGAAAATATCAGCCAGGGGAGGGGATTATTAGTTGATCCAATACCAAATTCTCAAAACTAAACATGCATATTATGAAAAAACTAAACATGATTGTGTATGATGAAAATTTGGACCAGAATTTTCAATATCTGGTTGGGCATTTATTTGAGGTAATAAGCTATTTTCATTTAATTTTTTAAAGATGTTTTATTTCTGGTTTAAGACAGGGTGTGGAATTTTTGTCTAGGTTTAAAATAGGGTTGGAATAATTTTGTATTTCAACCTAAGGCAGGGCAACAGTTGATTTTAAGAAGGGTGCTATCTCTGCTAAAGAAAAGGTACTACTGAAAAAGCCTCTATTTGAGCTGTTCATGTTTCTCAGATAAATTATTTATACTTTTGTTTGATATTGAGAAGGCTTTACCAACCCCTCCTTCCCCTGCCCCACCCCCATTGTCTTCCTTTGTCCAATTTTTGTTTTGTTTCAAAACTTTTTGTAAAGCTCTTTACTCTGTCTGATATGTCTAACCATAGGGGCTGAATTGATAGCAACACAAAGAATAAATCTGCTTACATGATTTATTCAACAATCATCTGATAAACTTAGGAGTTCTGCTCTTATCTACAAATACTAGTCAGTGAAATCTCAACTGTCAAAGTTTTTCATTTTATCATGGTAATAGTAACAGGCAAAAAATATGTGCAAAAACACTCCAATATTTAAAGCTACTGCATACACCTTAAAAAATTGTGTAACGTAATATATGTCTCTCTAACCTACAATAAAGTCTTTTGTCTTTGAAAAGTAATGGGTTTACATATTTACAATTTGTGTACAGTATGAAACTACTCGAACCGGATTCTTTTGATCGAAAAGAAAAACAAACAAAAAAAGAAAAACAAACTCAAAAAAAAAGAAAACTGTTATCCTTGCAAGCGATCTGAATCGTATTTACTCATCTGATCCGCCTATAATCTCCAAAAAAATTTCAATAAACTAAACGGAAAACTATTTCATGTGACAGACATAAATGATCAAATCATACAAAAGCATACAGTAAATTTAGGATCGAAATAAACCAATCATAAAATGATAAAGTTTCCTGAGAGGTCCGAGGTTTGTTTGTTTTCTATGCAGTAAGTTTTGTGTTTTAACTTCAATGTTATTGGTTCGTTTACAAAAAAAAAGACACTTTGACATCCTTTGTTCTCAATAAACATGTTCATTGGTTCATTTTTCTTCATTTCGATCCGGTTCAAATAATCTCTCTGCTCTGAGCGCTTCACAAACTTTGTTTTCTTTCGTTCATTCACGATTTCAGTGGTTGTGTTGTAATTGTCACTGAGCTGGTTACCTCACATTTTGAATTGTAAGTGATTATTTAATTTTTTTTTCAGATTTAACAATTATTTGTGAATTGGCGATGTTACATAAAAAGGCAACAGCTAGACTGACTATTGTTAAGTAAATTATTTGCGTGTCGTTTACCTGCTTCTGTGATGTTTTTCTATGAGGATTAACGTGTGTAGCTGACAGTTGTTGCTGGAGATGGCTTCAGCCAAGTGCTGTGCTCCAATGTCTGAGATGTTATTTTCTGAGAGGTCTAACTCGCGTAGCTGACAGTTGTTGTTTTTGATGGCTTCAGCCAAGTGCTGTGCTCCGATGTCTGAGATGT